AGATGTAAAATCCTTCGGCATAAAGGCAGTGCTAATCAACGTATACCTCCTTACACATCGCGTCACTTTCACCGTGAATAATTATCCGTTAAACTCTCTACAAACTCGAATCACTCGGTTTTTTCGTCAGTCGGCGTTTCGTAGAGCTTCTTCAAGTCGGTAACCGTAGTTTTCTTCCCGACCGATTCACGCGGTCGTCCTATCCTCAGTACACTCTGGTTTCTCGTCGACGTCGACACGCTCTGCGACGGTTGGTCCTCCGACGATCTAACCATCTCATTGCTCCACTTTGTTAACCATTCACCAGCTTCGGTCTGAAGGCGGAAGAAGGATAAAACAACACTCCACGTTCGTTCTCCCTTTGAATCTCCCGATTCGGACAAAGGGAGAGCAATTAGCTAGATTTACCTTCTTGTCGTCGTTTTCCGTCGAGGCCACCGCGTTCAGCTTCTCCTCCGCCTTCTTCAATCTCTCCAATTCCCTCTGTAATTTCCGTTCCATCTGATACTTGGCCACAGCCTGAGCCAACGGTCCGAGCTCTCCTCTCATCGCTGCGTTCAGCAACGCCTGCTCGAAGATATCCGTTATCGCACCGTTCCGATACTTCCTCCTTCCTAAAAGATACTACTCACGTCTCGACGTCTCTTCGAATCGACATTTCCAATCGGATCGGTTTCGGTCTGCGGTCCTAGCTCCAACAGTACCTGAAAATCGGCGTGTTCGCCGAGTCGAAAGCCGACGCCGATCCTCGAGTCTGTACCTGGTGGCGAGGAATCGAAAGGAGAGGAAGAGTTGCAGCGAACTATCAGATGCGAAAGAAACGGGAGAGACGCGCGCGACCATACCAGTGAAAGTGGTATTCGCGTGACGCGGTAAAACGTTCTCTCGGCGCAAACAGTGCCGTATTTAGGAAACTGAGACGTACGGAGGAGTGACGTAATCGAATCTCTTTACCTTTCTTTATAGGCGGTATGTTGGAGTAGATCAGCGACAGTATCGTGGGCAATTCTTCCGGGATAATGAGACAGCTCGCACCTGTAACCGTCGATGTCGCGTCACAATTACGCACGGTTTCTCGACTCTTTCTTTCGGTTAGGTTCAAGCCTCCTTCGGAATCTCTCCTCGGTGTAATCTTTCGTAACATCTTTCTTTTTTTTCCGCTGGTCGGACTATGATCAAGGATTTTTGCGACACAGAGAGACAGATTCCGCGGAAAGTAGGCGAAGGACGAGTTATACACGAGCCAGCAGCACTTACGTTCGAAAAGAAACAGCAGGATGCACAGGTTCACTAGGACGTCCTTCGTGCTCCACATCTTTTCATCCGGATAGATCTCCTGTATACGTATATAGGTATTCTTTATTCGAGATTATCCTCTCTCCCGCGGTGAATCTTCCACGATGAAACTCTTTTCTTTCCCAACCTTCTTTCGCGAACGAGATAATTCGACGAAAATTCTACGATCGAGACGAGACGAGGCGAGACTCGAAGAAAGATGGTGCGAGGTGTCTTCGGCGGCGGTTCTCGGAGAAAACGGTTCGCAGACTAGACGGTCTCTGTTGTCTGAAGGTACTTAGATGAAAGTGAAATGAAAATGTCGGGCTGGCGGCGTCGAGCCGGCCTACTCCAGCGGACTGACGACGTCGCGCGAGCGATAGAACGGAATCGCGTTCCGCGGTGCGAGAAAGAGCTCTCGAAACGAAGTGGCCGAGTGAAAGGAGACGAGGAGGATCGGGGATCGAGGTCACCGAGTACACGCTGCCTATATAGGAACGACCGTCGATGGATCGGGGATGAACTCTCTCTTCGTTTCCTCGTCGCCACCTCCTCCTTCCTGTTCGAGCTCACGTACGAGCGTTTCGTCGCTTTCGAGTCGCTTCTCCGCCTGGAATTTTGAATTTCCCGCGGAAAATTCGACAATATCTCTCCGGCGACCGCGAACGCTTCAAGTCGAGGAGATCTCGCAGAAAGGAAGACGACTTGTCGATCTTCTTGTACTCGTAAAAGACTCATTTCGAGTGTTTCAGTTGAAACGTACTTCAAAAGTAAACAATTGCTTTTACTAGTTATGTTGAAAGTATCGTTAACCCCTTAACCTATGATTTCTTTTCTGACTATGCATCTAAGCGTCGGCCATTTTCTATTTCAGTACCGTATCGGGTAACAAAAACTAATCTGTCGCAAATTAATTACACTTCGTAATCATCGGTCTTACAAATTCAGACGAAATTTAGGATTACGATGAATTTTATAACTAACGCTAATATAACGATTTTTCTCACATCTCTGCCACGAGTCTGACGCGTTGTCGTATGTTAAGGGGTTAAGGGTTGTGTATGCGTACCTGTTGCTTACCCAGGTAAATAAATATATTGCAAGATATAACACACGTTTAAGCTGGCGAGCACCTGTGAATAAAATTGACGTCGAGTCACACTTGTTCCTCGTGGAACGAGCTTTCGATATTTTCTCGAGATCGGCGAAACCCGAGAAAAATGATAAATACGATTGGAAGAGCTGAAGATGTAGACCGTCCCGAGAAATCAGGAGCAGTTTGCGGCTTTCTGCGATTCGCGTGGCGCGTCGAGACCTTGAGGCGTTACGTAAAATTATGTAAAAGTTTCGCGCGCCAAATGGTAATAATCATTCGACGTACGAATTACAGAGAGACACGCGAAAACGTCGCGTGGCACGAGGATTCACCCGGAATCGCCGCGCCGGGGAAATTACACGTCCGCTCGATCGAGCAACAAAAGTGAAACTTGGTTTATAGAAATCTCCGTTTCCTTCCTACTCTTTGATCCAACTGTTCTAACCATTGTTTGATCAACCAAGTACACTCTACATACTATTTTTCATTTTATCCGTTGCACCGTACGATCTTCTTTCCGCACGAGATATCGATGAATTTTACGCAACTATGTTGCGCAACGTGTCGGCGGATCGGTATGTTTCATTCACTTGCAAGTGAAATTGAGACCGGTATGCGTAATCTATTAAACACTACGCGTAACTTACACTTTCCTCGTAACTTACATTTATTTCGTAATCGAAGCATCGAAAAATGTCGGTATCAGCTTGCAGTGTACGTGAGAAAAGATGGGATCTCGGTGAAACGACGTAACTTCTCGAGCTTGGCTCGGATGGGCTCAAAATTCCTCCTAACGAGCTCCTTGTAAGGACGATGCCCGGTAAAATGAAAGAGAACAATAGGCGTGTAATACGAAACGGCGTACTCGTTCGAGATATCTGAAATTAATCCGCGAACGTAACGCACGTTACGATTGAAAGTAGCTTGTCAGACGGTGCATAAACCTTTGACGGAATGCAACACCTGTGTAAACGGACTTGACACAGGTGAAACCGTAAATTAACCCGCGTCGATTCGTTCTACAAGTTAGCGGGATCGAAGTGACAATTTTGTAACATATTTTTTACCAGCGAGTCGAAGCGTCGCGAAACACTTGGTCGAGTAGCATAGTGGGGTAAGTACTGGTATACGTATATGCATAACGGTAATTGCGTATGGGCGCTCTATCAACGGACACGAGCGCGATAGCGCGTGTTATCAGCGGTAACCCACAGTTTCTTCGGCGAACGCTCAGTGCGGTAAAACATCGAGCAACGATTAAGTCTTAACTTTAATTTCACGAACGCCGCACCGCGTCTGCAATAACGCGTAACAGTTACATAAATCAGGTTGGTTGGTAATGCATCTAGGTCGGAGATCAACTCGTAAATCTACCCGATCTCTAGGACGATCGTAGAGTGGCCGTGAATCGAATAGCGTGGTGAAACGCACTTTGATCGTTTGGGAATCGGTCGGAGCGATCGATAGAAAAGTGCAGACCGTTGAATTGTCGGGGATAATGGAAGGCGTTAAGTCGCGTACCGCCAGCTACCGGCGCGGTTGCGGCCTAGGCAGAGTTGCCGAAGGTGGAGAGGGACACGCTCCTCGTTCTATAGAGCCGCGCGCGTACGTTTGTCGTTCACCGGGAGTTGACGATCGCACACGATCGCACAAGTGGCCGCTTTGACCAGCGAAGGACGCGCGCCGATTAATCAACGTCCTTTTCCGTAACTCGCGAATGCCACCCGATTCCGATCCGAGACCGTGAGAGCTACTCTACGTAGTCATGGGACACTCTCTCGGTCGAGTGAGTATCTCGTTCGCTGCAACTGTCCGCGTGCCTTCGGTACAGAGGTGACGTGTGAATAATCAGTTTCCGACGGAGGTAGCAGAGCCGCAACACCCGGAACCGAAGAAAAACGTCGATACTGTAAAACAAGGACCGAAGATAATTCGCGCGGTATCGGCCATATGCCGTTTTCTTGCACGGTGAACACTCGGTACGTTTCCACCGACAGGTGCATTAAACGACGTAAGTGCAGCGAGCGATATTTCTTCGTGATCGCGAGTCCCCTTCTGTTCTTTTCCTCCGAAAACCACCGGCGGACACGAGTCGAGCAGACAGTTTTTTGTAATACTCTCGAAAGTTTCTCTAATGATAATTTCGACCGGTAAGAGAAAATGACGGAAAAATGGAGCAAACTTTAAGGAAGAAGAAACACTCTCTCTCGAACCGTCGATTAATCCTCGTAGTAACCTTGAACGTGCCTTTCCAGTGAATGGTGCACGATGACATTTTGGGCCCGTGGGGCCGAATTCTCATCATCGTGGCGGCTGCGCTGACCGCCGTCTTCGCTTTGCTACTAATCGCCTGCTTCCTCAAGCCGGGATGCCCCGGATACGAGTGCGTCAGAAAACGAAGTAAGATCCAACTTTACGTTTCCGTTACCGCCGTTAAATTGCACTCCCTCTGAAAAGCAATTAATCGCTTTGTCACGCCAAACAAACTCCACCTGTCAACTTTTAGCCGGTAACCTACATTCCGAAGCATTTTCTCTAATGAAAATCGCTCGAGTACCGCGACACAAATACTCCAAGGAAAATAAGATTCTCTCGGGTGGTAGGAATGCCAGGGATTTATTCTGTTTAAAATTTTCTTCTCTCTTTGTCCACGGTTCAACGAGCCGTTTAATCCTTCTTTATCGTATCGAACGCGGATATTTCGAGTTTGCAAAGGGGACGAGTGCGCCGTCTGAAGCCATTTCGCGTTGGTGCTTTGTGTTGATTAAACGCGGAGGAGGCGTCTGGCAGCGGAGCTAAGCTGGTAATATTTAATTTTCCCGACACGTTTGCGAGCTCTGCTTCCACGCACACGTGCTTGTATATACATGAAACGCGTGCCGGGAAAAATAATTACGCGCTGCACGCCTCCGCTCGCTTTTGATAGACCTAGGTCGCGAGGCAAAAAGGGCCTTTGAGGTATCAAAACGCCACGTTCAAGCCCTGACAATCGCTCGGTTTACCGGATGCTCGCGTTTGTCCACTCGCGGAACGATCCTCGACGCGTTTCAATTACTATCTGGCACGGAGATTCTTGACGCGCGTTTGCGTCAAAAGTAAAATGACACGAGAGCTCGTCCTTTTTCCTTTCTCCTTTTCTCCTCGTTTATCTCGCGCACAACGCGTTAATTACGATATCCTTCGGACGTACATCGAAGCGCGGTTTCTTTGTCCGAAGGAGGATTTATGCAACCGAGTGTACGGTATTCCTCTGAAAGGAAGGAAGCTTAAAATTCCTGCATCGCGAATCGTGTGTACATATCGTTGATACATTACGCCATTGTTCGCCTGGCTATATTTATACACACATGCAAACGACGTTTTCTTCGTTTCCTCCGTGATGTTACGTAATTAGGTATGTCATCCTGCGAACAAACCGCACACACAGCCTTCCAATAGCGCCGTCGCGCCACGCCGCGGAAACGCCCATCCCTCTGTATCCGAACAGCGGCAGGTTTTTCTCCTTCGCTCGACGATTAACGCGCAACCGAGATCTCGTTTTAATCCGCCAGCTCGATAGGCAAACTCCCGTTTGCAAAATTCATTACCGCACGCTTATTTTCTACACATCTGCGTGTTGCCTGACGTTTCGTCATCGCGGCGCCGTTGTATACGCTAACCAAAGTGCGTAATTAGCAAGTAAAGCGATTCTTCGAGCTACCGGCCCGAGTTGGCTGCGTCGCGGTTGTTTACAAATTGCATAATCGAAAGCGTGAATAATTTTGTACAGAGAGAGAGGCGAAAAGTGTGCCGCCGCTGCGTGTCAAGAGCAAAGGGAACGAGAACGTGAAGCTGAGCGATGTCAGTTACAGGTCGTGGAGATTGGGCAGCCTCTACGAAGACGGCAGCAATGGTACTTCTCTTCTTTTCTTTTCTTTTTTTAAGTAATGCACTGTTGAACGTGTACACTGGATGTAAGTTGATGAGAAATTGTACACAGGTACGATCAACGAGAATGCCAGCCCGACCGAAGGGAATTCCTGGAATTCCAGCAACGCTCAGTTCGGATGCGCCGATACCACCTCGTCCACCCTGGTGAGCGTCCGTTATCCGTGCTAAATTTCCTTTTAATTTACGCCACGTTTCCGCGTTAACGCGTTCCGCGCGCCGCTTTCCAGAACTTGGTGCAAACAGATAAGCAGAAAACGGAGAAGAAGAAACAAAGGGAATTCCCGACGGAATTGACGATAAGCTTGCAGTACCTGCCGCCCTGTGACGTCACCATTACCGGAAAACTCGTTATCGGTATCGAGGTACACGCTCCTTTCGTACGATCCACCTTTGTGCCTCGCAACTTTATCTCGCCTTGAATAGAGATCGAGTAAAAAACAAACTTAACTATACTTTACCTCGTGAAACGTTCACGTTCGATCCTAGGCTGCCTCTGTAAAATTGATAGAATTTCAAAGAAGCTAATAACGACCGTGGATAATAATAAGGTATCGCGAAGGTGCAACGTGTTTGTAATAACAGATCGAGTAGAAACGAACGTGCCTGGTTGCGTAATTAGCAACAACCTGCACGTTTCCGCGTCTAAAGTAAAGAATCGAACGATGTGCAGGCGTTGTCCGGTCTTCCGCCAAAGCAATACAACTGCACCCTGGAGCCGTACGTGGCACTGAACATTACCAAGCAATCGTGGAGTCACAGGAAACGGCAGAAGCTGCACAGTTTCCGAACGAGGGGTGTCAGGCACACGGCCAGTCCAATTTTCAAGGAGACGTTCGTCGTGGCTAACGTAAAACCCCACGAAGTTAAGGTGAGTGTACAGTGTACAGTGTACGTTCTTTTTCTTTTTTTCTTTTATCGCCACTACGCTCCTGCTCTATTGTTGTATTTAATTCAAGGCTGCTTGGCGCGTCACTCGTAGCGCGCATCTACCATGAAATTTCTTTCGACAACGCTTACGTCTTGCCTTTAACCGCGAATGGCTCGGGTATTTCATGCAAAATACTCTTTCGAAGCAAAGAGTAAGAAGAAGTAAAAAGAAGTCGCGGAAGTTTTTTGCGAAATAGATAATTGTATATAACGGGTGCACGTGTTCACGTGTGCAATGCAAATGCGTTATCTGCAACTGTAGATAGCACGTTCCGTAATAGCGTCAGAAAAAGTTAACGATCCGCCGTATAAGCGACAGATTTTTTTACTTTCTTCCAAGATTTATCGCAGCCAGATCGAACGAACAGCTTCTTCATACAGCTTTTTCTTACAGGATTGGATTCTCGATTTCGCGGCGTACGATCACGACAGATACGCGAATCACACGGAATTGTGTGCTTTTAAGATGTCGATGAAGGAGGCGAGGCAGGTTCTCCAGAGTCCTGAAATTCACATGTTCAATTTCCGAATGAAGCCGTCCAGTTTGGTACTGTCCGTTTAATTTCTCCACC